ATCTCTGCACCCTTCAATTGGCTCCCCTGGCGGCAAAGTTCTTCAAATTTCCGTTCATACCGTTTAGCCCTTGTCCCGCATGGATGGTATCTGACACAAGCTGGGAGCGATGGAAGTACAATAAAATCACTCAATGTTGTTGACTCAATGTTAAATCTTGAAATGTTAAATGTACATTTCTGACATTTTCTTCTTTGTTTAAACATTTCTCAGCCCTGGCTCGCTACATCAGGAGCAACGAAACTAGGTCAATCTACCTCCTCATTATCGTGGCTGTTGCTGTTGTTGTTTCCGCTCTCATTTGTCCTTGATGTTGAATGGCTGCAACATGAAAGCAAAAAGATGTGCTATGATTTTGTTTGAGCCACCTGGAAGATAGTGCCGATTGGAGACCTGACAATTTTACTGTTTCCCTTACTTACCCTTACTTTGAATAATTTTTAAAATTTTAAGTTAATTCGTTAACTCGATTCCAGTCGAACTACACTGAATTCTACTTAGCGGTCTGCTCAAACATCCCTGACACAGTTTTCTCTTGCGCAAAGTGGGTCATGCCAAGTGACGCTCGTTGCCTTTGCCGCTTGACCCATTTGTTTGCAGAGTTGCAAATGTTGGCAAGGCTGCCTGCCGTGCCAAGGTTTGGTTTGCTCCAAATTCGGGGTAAGTTTTGGGGGTTCATTTGATTTGATTGTTTTCTGTTGTTTACACTGAGTATGGGGTGGGGGAGTGGGATGTTAACTGTTTGACTCTGACAGCTGGCCGCAGCAGCTCTCTCCCCGTCCCACCCAATCGCAACGAGACATTTATTTGTCTATTACTGCGTATCGATGTTTGTCTAGTGCCCATATTTGTGTATTGTCCAAACAAACGTCTTGCATCTGAGCAGCAAGACAATGAAAACTGTTGTCTGTTTTTCCACCAGAATTTATGAGCCAATGTCAACAGCACGCACAGCCGGAGTGCCAGTCTCAGTGACAGTGCCAGTCCCAGTCTCCCAACCCGAGCATGGAATGGCAATTGAATCGTCCATTGGTGAAATCAACCGTCCAAGGAAAGTTTCTGTCAGGTGAATAATGTCCGATGTCCGCTGTCCGCTGTCCGTTGCCCGCTGTCCGCTATCCGCTTGACCCCAGCCATGTATGTAGGCTAGAGGTGCTGGAACCGGTTGTCAAAACTGAGACTCTGGACATGCTTTTTTTGTCAGTCAGTCTGTTGAGACGGCTGCACATGACATAAATTTGTATCTGCAGCCGATTGTGAGTCTTGTAATGGCAGCATGTTGCTTGTATCGCTGATCATCTTTGTCTACAATTTATGCTTCCTGCTGACAAAAGCCTCGGCATCCACAGCCACATTCACAACCCCATCCTCATGTCCATATCGGTGCTGACATGTTCACATCAATCACACGACGACCCTGTTGTTGGCCGTTTGTAACTTGATTTTCCATATCATACCCTAACCCAAGCCGACCTGCTGGATGTCAAACAGAAGATACACCAAACAGCGAACAGGTAAACATTCTAATGATCCAAACACGCAACTCAAAATGTCATGGAGTACGAGTAAGAGTGGGAGAGTGGAAGAGTGGGAGTGGGTGTAGCAGGAGTTAATGTTGTAGCTGGAATCAGAGTCTGAAGATTTCTGAATGTGGACTGGCGCACTCAAGGGCGATTTTCATTTTCCACCATCCGCCATCTGCGACTTGCGACTTACGACTTGGGGGTTTGTGTGTGTGTTTGTGTTCGGTGTGTTTGTTTGCTGGCAACTGACAGCTTTTGATGGACATCTCGACGCAGTGTCGGTGGCGTGTCCACATCAACATCCATGTGCAGGCTCATGTCCATGGCCATGATTCCACGTCAAGTGCCCCCGTCATGCTGGCAAATTTGCCCAGCTTGACAGGTGCTGCCCTGGACATTGTGGGGGTGAGGACAGGCGGCTCTAATTAGTGCTCAGCCTTGGCTAAGATGGGGTTGATTGCGCATTAGTGGGAGGAAGTTCCCAAAAAAATATGAAACTTTGAAATTCTGCAGGGTCATGGGCATAAAATCTGTGGTGCATCATCTTGCAGCGATCGTGGCAATTTCAAGTTGATTTCTGTTCAACAAAGCCCTTCCATTGTGGGACCTACAAGCTACCCCTTCCCCTGCCCTACCCCTCATACTCACATCTTCTTCTACTCATACCTATGGCTTTCGCTAGGCAAAAGCGTAATTGAATGGAACGGAATGACATTGTACATATTTTCCAAATCCGGTTTCGAAGGCAATCCAATCACACTCATACAGATCAATCTACATATAGGCACACATATGTACATTAATGATAAAGGAGAGAATTCGAAATGAAAATACGAAATAACAGCGGACAGCGCTGAAATGCAGCGGATATAATAATAAGATGCTGTTTCTCATTACGACTTTACAAAGAAATCCCAAAAATCCGGTTCAATTTTCATAAAATTCCAATTAAATTGGAAACCAGCGCTCTTGTGTGCTGAAGGGCGAAGGGTACAGAGAGCGGTACAGAGAGAGAGAGAGAGAGAGAGAGAGAGTGCAACAGCTGCTCGCTCTGCTGTTCAGAACTTTGTTGGATACCAATGGAACCAACCCACCCCCATCCACACCATACAGTGGATCTGTTATGCTAAAAATGAGGCCGCTGTTGGCTAACAGAACCGTTCCCGTTCTAATTGTTTACAGTGCGCGCGCTCTCTTACACGCTCTGTTACGTTACACCGCTGCCTTACAGCTGTTATCGCTCTCACATAATTCTCTTGCGCTCTCATCTGGTTGACCTATTTTCCAGTTTGGGTAATGTGTCAGTGTGCATGTGTGTGTGTAAGCATTTGCTTCCCTGTATCTGTATCTGTGCATTGCCTTCTCACTCTCTCTGCCCCATCTAATGCCGATGCTTTGTTTTGGTTTTGCCTTTTGCGTTTCTTTTGCTTGTTTTGTAACCTCACGGATTCACGTATTGCATTCACATTTACATTTACATCAGCATTCACATTCACTTGAGCGATGCGATGCTGCTGCTGCTGCTGCCTTTTCGTAACTGCGTATTATTGTAGCTCTGTTGACTTCATTCGTTGTTGTTGCTGCTTTGGAAGTTTCACTAGAGAAATGATTAATTGAATTTGTCAGATAGTTCATCTTTGCACTTGGCCGCCGTTTGCTGCTGCTGCATGTGCGTGTGCGTTTGCCCCTACGGGTTTCCCATAGGTTTTTCTTGAAGCATTATCAGTTCTTTTGTTGCTTTTGTTTGGCCACTTCTGGCCGCTTTTGTCACCAGATTACAAAATGCGGACTACTCCTATCGCATTTGCTGTTCTGCCTCTCCGTTTTTACCGTACTTTGGTTAAATGGTTCTTGCAATCAGGATTTTGACCTCCCCCCAGACAAGATCAAAACTAAATACGCAGCGAATTTGTTCGAAAATGACGTCTCAAAATGCTGGTGGCATGAAAATCCCTTAAATCCACCCCGAAACTCGAAATCAGATAAGGGGAAAAACTGGCAACAATAACAACTACGCAAATCTATGGATGTTGGATGAAGTTGGGAAGTTGATTGAAGTCGCAGAAGTGTGTGTACACCCCGCGCCTAAGAGAAATGGAAGATACCCCTGCCACTACACAATAAAATGGTATACATATGTATGCCTACAGAGGTCATTCCAAAGGCAACAACAACGCAATATAACAGCCAACATCAAATACAGTACATACTCGTGCAACATAGCAGCAGTACGGCCCCCAAAAATACCAAGAATACGAATAACAACAGCAACAGCATGGTATCCATGTATCCTCAAGCGATGTAAACAAAATCGAATGAATATCAAAGCATTAACAGCTGTGAGCTACGCGAAGAGAGTGAGAGAGAGAGAGAGAGAGAGAGCGCGCGGCTCTCTTTAACTGTTAGATTCTGTGACGTTGCAGACCAGAAAACCGGCCGGCGCTTGAACATTGCCCTACAATAACATCGCTTGGCATATGAAACAGAAACGAGAAGAAGAGTAGGGAAAACTGGTGAACGAAACTAACTGTTAAATAATGCAAAGTAAATTATTAGGTTTATTAGGTGTGCCATTAGGTTTAATCCCAAGATATCTATAATTATTTTGTTAATTATACAGCAAAATGTACATCTGTTACTCAAGCACACTCTGTACGTAAATTGTTTAACAAAATACATCTGAAGGGCAACAGAGAATGTGAGCGCCTCTCTCGTTTGTTTTGCTCAACAGCTGTTTGTTGCTCTGGCTCGCTCTTATGCGTTCCACTCTGTTATTGATAATACAGAGCGAAACGCAAGCACACGCACACACACACACAGAGACACACGGACAGTTATGCGGGCTCTGTTGACAAGTGCCTGAGTTTTTTTTTTACTGCGTAGTATATTTTTTTTTTGGGCCAACCAACGACTACGTCGGCGCTGCCACCTCCTGGCGATGGCGTCATAGATACAGATACGGGGGATAGCCAGCAAAGAAGAGAGCTGGAGAGAGAGAGAGAGGTCGCTGGTTGCTGATAAGCGTTCGCTCCAGCAACTGCGTCGCGTTGGCATAAACCTCATACAGTATCTGTAGGTTATTGTATGTGGAAATCTACACAGGGAAAAGATTGGCATGGAAAATCCTTACTGGGTCGTGTCTGTTTCCCTCTTGATATGATTACAGCGATTGTCCGTTGGTGCTGCTGTTAACCAAGGCACCAATGCATTTCTAACAGTTTTATGCTGGCTCACACACACACACAGTCAGACACACGCTCCACAAATTTATGTATACGTATGTTGTTTTGCTTTTCCAAGCAGGTAGATAGATCCGATAGATACAGATACGTTTGCACCAGTACATAACAGAGAGGCAGAGAGAGCGAACAGCAGAGCGAAAGAGAGACAGAAGTATCTGTGTTTGTGTTTGTGTGTGCTTGTGAGTAACTGTAACTCGCCGTTCGTTCGCCGTTGGCTCGTTCGCTCGCTCGCTCGCGTCAGTCATCAAAACCAAACTCTCGAGTGCAGACGATAAGCGCTTGCGAGAATTCATTTTGTGTCCGTGTACGCCAAACAATAACAACCCACTCCAATCCACTCCCCCCCAAAAAGATATGTGTATTTTCAACAATAGCCACAGTCATAAAACAGTATAAAACAAAAACAATCGACACAGTGCGTGCGTGTGTATGTGTTTGAGTGTTTGTCTTGCTGTTGTCCAGCAATCAATCGCCGAAGTCGAAAAGTCAAAGAGTCCAAAGAGTCGCCACAGAAAAACAAAACAAAACACAGCACAGCCCAGCACAGCAACACAACAAATCAGTGCAGCAGCCCGCGAGAAGTGCATCCATATTGCTCTCTGGCGAGTGTGGTCTCTGTGTGTGGGTGTCTCTGCATCTAAATCTCTGCCGCCCTGTCGGTGTGTTTGAGTGTGTGTGTGTGTCTGTGTGTCGGAGAAAAACTCGAGAAAAAGTGAAACGACCGGCAACCAGCGAAAGCAGCGCGAAAGCAAAGAGCAGTAATAAGAATCCAGCAAACAAAAGAAAAATCTACGATAACGTGTGTGAGAACTACGGGAAAAAGCTTAAATTTTATGTGAGCCCCAACCAGCACCAATCATTCCCCTCACCTGATCGACCGATTGACTGATTGAGACTCCCCCCCACACCGTGTTAGCCCCCAAACTGACGTTCAAAGCGGCCAAAATTGGATTATGCTCAGGCACAAACGCAACTGCCACGCCATTCAGACGCCCAGCGACGACGAGCATGTGAAACTAAAGACGAGTGGTGCCCCGATTGATGCACTGCATCCACTCCCAACCCAATCGCAGTCACTGTCATCCTCCTCGTTGCTGCTGCTGCCGCTACTCCTGCTCATCCTGCAGCGCCTGCAGAACAATCAGCGCCTGAATCAACGCGTCACCTTCTCCCTGGAGCTGTACCACAAGAACGTGATCAAGAAATTGCCTGCCCTCAAGCAGCTCGAGGTATACAAGCTGACTAAAAACATCTCACAGACTTAAGTTCCCCCAAGCCCCATCCAAAATTCAAAGCAAAAACTCAAAAAAAAAGACCAGAAAAGTGCAAAGTAAAGAAAAGTGAACGTGAAACATACGGAAAAGTGCAAAAATTACAATCGAGTGCAATAAGTGCAAGGAAAAAGTGTGTCCCACCCAGTGCGGAAAATGTGGCGAGTTAGCAAAGCTAAAATCTCGCACTGAGTTTGTAGAAACAGCAAGAAGAAAAAAGAAGAGTTCGAATTCGGATCCAAGCAGATCTTGAATCAAAGTTTAAAGCAAAAAAAAAAAAAAACAATAACGCAGTTTGCGGGATTAAGTAATCCCGTAAAATTGAGATTTTTGAAAGAGAGAAATCGCCACAAAAGCAACGTACAAAAATGTCCACCGGTCGTCGTTTGGCGAAACGCTCAATCATTGGCACCAAGGTGTGCGCCCCGGGTCCCGAGGGACTCCTGTATTCGGGCGTCATCGTCGATGTGAAGACGCCTCCGTCGTATATGTCGGGCAAGGCTCTGGCACCGCTGTCACCGCCACCGCCGCCGCCGCCCACCTTCCTGGCCCCCGGGGAGCCACAGCTAAACGCGGACACGCGCTATCTCGTCCGTTTCGATTTTAAAACGCAGCAGCTTCCGATGCAACACGCCGCCCCGTCGACAGTGTCCGCGTCCTCGTCATCGTCATCGTCCACGTCCACGTCCCCTTCGGATGCATCGGTAATCGTGGAGGCCCGCCGGGTCGCCAGCGTGCACATCAGTCCGGCCCAGGCTCTGCGCCGGAACGCCATGATTAAGGAGTTCCGCGAATCGGATCTTATTGGACCCGGCTTCCGTTCGATTATGGGCATACAGCTGCAGCCCGGCCAGCGAGTTTTTCTCACCTACAACGGACGCGAGCAGAGCGGCGATGTGGTGGAGCACGATGCCAGCAAGGACGAGGTGGTTGTCAAGATAACCACAGTTGGAAATGAGGTGAGTCGAGTCGGTTCGGGTCGGGTGGGGTGTGTGGGTGGGTGCCGTGCCGTGCCACTGCAATTGCAGCTGGCAGTGGCAGAGACGGAGGCAGCTCTGTCATCATTGTGCGACGCCAAAGTATGTCAAGGTTGGCTCTGCCCCATCCCCAACATGGCTGGGGCGCGCAGCATATACACATACAATATCTATGCTGTATCTATGTACAGTCACAGGCATATTCAGAGCATATATGTACAGCATGCAGCAGCAGCCCCAGAACATACAATAAGTACATATGTACATACAACTAGTGCGGGGTACATGGGGGGACTTCTATGTGCAATCACGTTCTATGTGGCACGACGAAAAAACCAAAAAACAACTCGAAAAAATGCTTGTCGAGGGTCGCATTCTGCTTTTTGGCACGTAATTGGGTTACTCTCTGGGTTGGCCTTCTTGGATATGTACACCCGACACACATTTCGATACGTGTGGCAGAGACTCCTTGAAGGATGGTCGTGGGCTGGTTGGTGGCAGCTTACCACAAAATCTAATTAGCTTTGAGCAACATTTGCAGCAAATGTGCTGTCTAGCTTCTGCTGCCACATAATCCTTCTCCCCCACAAGCACATTGATAGATACAGATACAGATACAGATACAGCGAATGCCCCTTGCCATTGCGTCACTCGTCGAATCGTTGAACTGATCCGCAAACAAAATGCACAAGCAGATCAGGAAAAAAATTAATAATAAATAAACGGCTATGAAAAGTAACTCGGGAGTGAAATATCGAGTCACGAGTCCCACATATGCGAAGCGAATCCGATTCGAGTGCGAACCCAAAGAATTTCAAATCGTCAGAACAGATCCGATCCGATCGTTTGCTCCCCAATGACGACGACGACAACGAATACGAATACGAATACGACTATGATGTGGTGGCTGATGTTGATAATGATGATGTCGTAATGAAAATTTGTTTAGAATTTAGTTTCGTGAAAGAATTTGTTGAACGTGAGATAAAAATTGTAGGAGAGCGCCCACAACTAGCAAAATGAAAAGGGGGAAATGCGCTACGATTTGAGGGCAAAATAGAGATGTGTACGCTTTACAGATACTCAATTATAAAGATTAATTCCACTCCCCGTGCGAGTCTGTTTGCCGCGCCCTAACACTCACAGAGAGAGAGAGAGAAAGAGAGAGAGAGAGAGATAGGGAGAGAGGCAGACACAGATCAGATGAACTTTTTGAATTGCGTCATAAGTCGGGGCATACAGCCACAGAGCTACAGCTACAGATGATGTGTATGAATAGCCGGCTGAATGTAGATGGCAAAGATAGTTAGATACATGAGCGAAACACATGCATCTTGGAGATACATTGAGACTGAGGCCCAGGCCAAAAGGCAAGCGGTTTGCCGGCTGACTGCACTCCAGAGAGAAAGAGAGGGGACCAGATAGCGCTCTTACCGGCATCAGGCTGTGCTCTCCTCTCTTCTCACTCACCATCTGTATACATTTGTATCTCTCTCTCTCTCTCTCTCTGGTTCCCTATGCTCCCTCCCGTCTGGTTCCCATTGCATTTTGTTTTGGTTTTTGTGCCTTCTGCTTTCCCTTTGCCTTGCAGTTTCTGTTGTGTGTTTCCACTCTCAACTAATAATCGCTTAAAAACATTTGTAATTGCTGCATTCTACGAAGCAAGATACAAACGCAAAGATACAAGCACGCCAGTTACAGCTACAGATACACAGCTACAGATACACGTTCGGATAGACGGACTTCAATGCCAAGTCAACTGCCGCGTATCTTTTCCGTGCTGCGAGTCAATAAATTTGTCAGCTCTAGCTCTCTGCTCTGCCAGATGTGTGGGCTTGTCTCCAGCTCGATGTCAGACCCATTGTACGACCCGCAAGATACAGCTACAGATACAGATACAGATACAGATACAGATACTACGATACTGCCATACTGCGGCTTGATCAGGTCTGATGTGTTGCCCAAAAGGGAAAACGCTGAAAAATGTATTGTAGTTTTTTGTTTGCTTTTACGACTTGAAGCCGACCTGAAAAGCCTCCAAATTTCGACTCAAATCTTTTGGCATAATCAGCTATGGAAATGTAAAGCGAGTTCCAAAGAGCTTACAGGGCCCCCTACCCCCTACCCCCCAGCAAACCATCTGCTCTATGACCTCATCATTAGCCACCAAAATTCGACAAAAAATAACTGGAAAAGTGAGGAAGAAGAGACTCTGGACTCCGGACTCCAGTTCGTTGTAAGTCAATCAACAATTGGTTGAACATTCTTTTTGTTGTGCGGCGGTTGTGGTTTTTGTAATTGAAAATGAAACTGGCAGGGGGATGGGCATGGTAGGGGGTAGGGGTAGGGGGAGTGGGGAGGTTATTTGTTACGTCTATCAATAGTTTTGTCCTCGCTGGCATGTGATGGTCACGTGTGTGTGTGTGTGTGTGTGTGTGTGCGTGCGGGGTTTGGCTCCAACACGACAAAAACCCCAAAATTTGTATTTTTTTTCGGTTCAACTTGAGCAATTGCCTTTTGTTTAGATGCAAACACACACACACACACAGAGTGGCTTAGGGAGAGGGGGAAACCAGTTGGGGAGCATTTTATTTGTTGTACGTATTTTTTTTTTTTGTGTTTGCCTCGGAAACGTGAGGCAATTAATTCTAAGGTTATTCCAGCAACGAGAAACTTGTTGCACGCATTTCCAACGCCATCTTTTAGTCCCATTACCATTTACCATTTACCATTTACCATTTCCATTCGCATTTCAATTACAATGAGGTATAATTGTCGGGCCATGAATCAAATGTCCTGCCAAGTGCCCGGGCAGCATATAATTTGCAGGTCCATTTAATGGAGGGCGCATGGCACAAGAATTAAGCTCGAATGCCAGCCAAAATGTCGGGAATCATTAGTCAGTTCAGTTCTGGTCTGGTATGGTCTGGTATGGTCTGGTATGGTCTGTGGTCGGCCCCTCAAGACGAGTAGCAGTTACATACTCCCCCCTCACTACCCCACATTGTCAGGACCTGGCCGGACCGGGAGCAGTAATTTGTATGTAGTTTCCTCTCGGCTGAACGGCTTTTGCATTTAAAAAGAAATTCATTTTAATGACATTGAAATTGACATGGCTCCGTGATTTTTTACCACACACGCAACTTCTCTCTCGTCTGTTTGTTTTTTATTTATTTTGGGCAGCAGCAATCTGCTTTCTGGGTTACCCCATTTCTCTCTCGTTGGCTTTGGCTTTTTACTTTCATCGCTTTTTGGCAATTAATTAACGTGTCTGTGGGTTTGTTTTGGCCTCTCACTTTTCGGGCTGCGACCCATTTTGCGACTGCATTTTGACCAGGTGAACGGCAATGACAGTGGCAGTGATTTTTTTTCTTTTGCACGCTGGAAGTTTACTTCTGTTCCAAAATAAATGGCCTTCTGGTTGAGGAAGCTGCTGAAAGTTGTGAGCCGATAATTGCCCACTTTCCTCACTTTCTGCTTATATAAATCCATTAGCTCTCCAAATATGTTTATCTGCGTTCATTTATCAGTGCCCTTGTTCCGCGGAACTAGTGTCTATCGGTGCCTAGAGCCTATCCAATATCCCTTCAATCAGGTCGTTTACGAGGCATTTGGCAAAACGTTTTTCGAGGCCATGTTTTCTCCCATTATTCCTGCCTTGATGTGTCTGTTCCTGTCCCACACTCGGTTGTCCCTTTTGGCCTGCCCCTGCCTGTGTCTCATTTCGGTTACTCCCGCTGTTTCGCCGGGGTCTCGGTATCAGAACGGCTAACGACCTGCCCATAGGGTAAGGGTATGGGTATGGGTATGGGTATGGGTATGGGTATGGGTATGGGTATGGGTACGATATCCACTATCCTCTGCTCTATCTCTCTGTCTCTTCCGTTCTCGTTCGCACTCTTTCTAGCACTAACTATCGCGCTCTCTTTTGCTCTGCACAGCTGCATTGCTATGGTTTTATGAGACCGGCAAAAACATTCATTTTTTCGTTTGCTTCTTGTCGTCCTGCGTGTCGTTTTTTTGTTTGAAAACAGGCTACAAAAAACGAAGGCC